GATAAAACTTTCAATAAAACTCTACAATCATCAAGAAACAATCACAAGGTGAACCAACATAATAAATAACTTCTTAATGATGTTATAATTGCATTTTAATTGCTTTGAGCTACGTAGCTATTATATTCCCCCTAATGGATTTGATAATAGAAACCAATACCGAAACAATTATCTTTATTGACACTGACGTTTTGAATTACGGCAGATTACGACTATTTCGTCGTGCAAGGTTGGCAACGCTCCGTGCAGTGGGCGCGGCCGGGTTAGCGACTTCCAGAGTTAGCGAATTCCGCCGCGGGACAAAATCGAGTTAGCGGGTTCCGGAGTTAGCCAATTCCTGACTGGGACGGTTAGCCAGTTCCAGAGTTAGCCAGTTCCGACACACGACCGAGTTAGCGAGTTCCAGAGTTAGCCAATTCCTACGTCTCTTCCAATTTAATGTGAGGGAAAGTCGTAACACTCAATACAATATAATCAATAACGTTCTGTTCTGTGAAAAGGTTTTTGTGCAAATGGGGACCATTAACTATTGTAATCCTTTGCCAGTAGATGGATTTGCATAGAAAAAATGGTTTGGGATTAAATAATCACACTTTTATCCAATTTACTCACTAATATTTAGATTTATTTCTTGGTTATTTGAATCTCTCAGGACAAAAATCAGTGGTTGTTGGACAAGTTCACATTTCCTCAGGTAATTTAGCAGAACTCCCTTAAAACTTGTATAATAATGATAAATGTGACTCCTTTATCACCAATTTGTATTTCCTCGATTTATGAAATAATTACTAAGCATACTTATTGAACGACGTTGGCACCATGAATGTGGAGTTGATTAAGTGAATTTTGTTACTGCTTTAAGACCAGCTGACATTTTCTGGGAATGTTGTATTATGTGCCTAGATCAAGAACAGCCGAGCACAGCTTTGAATCGTACACTTATGGATCAATGAGTTCTATTCATAGTCAAAACAGTTTGAACCTTCATCAAGTGCTTTAAACTTTACCTGCTCGACTTGAGCATGGAATTTGTTAGAAATGGTTCACTTTGTATCCATTTGAAGAGGGTTTGAACAAGTTGAAATATTTTCAGATTCTCCTGACATTGGATGATGATTTAGCGGAAAAAGATAGAAGAGAGATATCCGTGTTTTAAACCCCGTCTCTACTAACCGTCTATTGGGTTGTTTTACACGAGTACAGTGAGAGGAAGAGTGTAAAACCGTACAATAGTTTATTTTATACCGAGTTGCCTTTTTAAAGAGTAGGTAGTGTAGTTAAAATTGAAAGAGTGTAAATACTTATTTTTTACTATTAATATTTGCAATGTGATATTCCTAGATTCTTACCATAGTTTGGTTAGTATTTGGAAAATAACTATGAAGATACAATAAGTTGGCTATTTTTATGTATATCCTTTATGTATAGCAAATCATATTTTGAAATAACTATGTTGCTTTGTAAGATGTTTATTTAATATTATTTATGAAGATTTTATATTTAGGTATTATGGCAGAAAAAAGGGTGGAATTAGTGGATATAGAATATTTTGTCACTTATCAAGTAGGGAAATCAGAATCAGAATTGTTTATTGCCATAATAAAAAATGTGCAGAGCAAAATCACTAAAACTAAATAAGTAAAATCACACCCATTAAAATAAAGATACAAACTTCAATAGTACATAGGTAATATTTTACTAGTACCGTAAAACACTTTTAACCCAGATCCCAGTCAACCGAAACCCGGGTTAACCAAAACCATCATAATGAATAGTGTGTTCGGCTTAGGTACCTAACAGAATGTGATAGTGTATTACATTCTTTTATTTCTTGTATTATTATTAATGTAGCGACGACATGGATCTCATACAAATAGATATATGTTGAGGAAATAGATGATTATTTTAATAAACAGATTTTTAAAGACAGTTGTAGATTTTAAAATGGCAGCAATTGAAATAACAGAAGCGACTATTGTTGAAGATAGACATAGCCCTTAAGTTCCTACCATTGGTTAACAAAATGGTTTGTCCCCTTTATTTTGGTTTATCAGGGTTTTATTGTACTTTACTTTAAACAATTTTATGATAAATCGTATGATGTCATTTATGTAAAATATCCATACGACTGTTGTTAATTGCTTTGCAAAGCTTAGGTTATTTTTTTAGCTTTTAACACACTCATACCCATTAAAAAAAAAAAAAAACTTTCAAGTTTCCAAAATTTAAAACTAAGACATTGTATGAACTATTTATTTAGTTTAAAATGTATAATAAATATGCTTTTATAGTTAGATTTTATTTAATCATTAACTTTTCTCTGGAAATCGTGAGTTTTGGCTCGAAAATGACATTTATTAAAAAGACAATGTAATATTTTTTTGTTTTCTTCCTATTTTTATTTTTGTGTCTCCTTAACTACAGTTTTTGTGAAGCTTTAAATAGAGGATGGTTTTATATGCTGCAAAAATGTGTTAACTAACAGGTCTTTTATGTTGATTTATGAAGATGTAATTCTATACATAAGTATGATTCAGCTTCTTTAAAGCTTATTCAATATTGCCATAATAGTTTAATCATGTTCCCATTCTTGAATGATAAAATATTCATTTCATTAAAATATATCATTATCATTTTGTATTAAGTAGTAGTGGTAGAAGTGTGATATTTTCTGTTTAGGCCAAAATATTTTTTTATAAAACCTTCACCTTTAATTTATACCATTTATTATAGTTTTTACCAAATACACTGTATTTAAAAATAAAATGTATTATGAATTCAAGCCTTTGTAAAAGTTAACAGTAAGTTGTTTTGCTGCAAAACTGGTTTTAAGCCCTGTACACACCGGAGCGATACTTTATCGCTGGGGACGCGCGATACTATTCCTAGAATTTTATCTGCGATACTTGAACGATAATATCGCAGTGAAAACAGGTGCTTCCACACCAGAGCGGGAAAGGGACGCGCGGGAAATCCAGTACACCTCAGAGAGTGCGGTGGTTGTGAGACTCTCTAGTTGCAAAAGTGTTGTGTTATAGTTAGTGTTTGTATACTGTAGGCTACTGTGTGTAAACTTAAAACTATGACATGGTCTGATGAAGAAGAAGCTTTTCTGTTAGCTAGCCGTGCTATTATAGAAGATGAGAGAGCAAGGAAAATGTGGGTATACGACATAAATAAAGAACGGCTGCGATTTGGCGAGTACCATATACGCTCATGATGACCCAGTTAAGAAAAGATTAAACAAGATTCTACATATTCTGGAATGAATCAGGAATGTTTTGACGAGTTGCTGAGTTTGATTTCTGGCATTATCGAAAAGGAAAGTACCCACTACCGTGAAGCGAGTGCCGAAGAACGGCTAGCAATCACTTTAAGGTTTTTTTTTTCCTAGGACGCTAGGCACAAGCCTGGGATAGTTTTTCACATTACTTCAGGCTAGACCTAGGGGTTGCGGCATTACCAGTTAGATAAAATCCATTGGTGACTTGGCGGGGATCGAACCCGGGACCTCAGGGACTGAAGTCCCGCGCTCTAACCACTACGCCAGCTCGCTCCCCAATCACTTTAAGGTAAGACTGGTATGTAGATATATTTTTCAATGAGTTGACGAATCAATTAGCATTCCACCCACCTCCATTACCATTACCATTACCTACCATCTCTCTAGTTCGTCTAGTCTGACTAGCAAAACCTCTACAATATGCTGTGCTATAGCTAATACAATATTGTATGAACTACCTATTAAATAGTAATTTGAATCATCATCAAACCAGTATTAAATGCGTTATTCTGTCAGCAATCACCCAACATTGGATTGACAGCGGCACTGGAAAAAATATTGATAATTCAAATCAAATGTTTAAGTGTTAAAATAATTAATAAATCCAAGATGTCTGAATGTTTGGGAATTCTATTGTAAATTCTTCGGAAAACGTAGTTTAATAACAAATAATGAAGACGAACCCTATTTTAAATTTCTAGTTGCTAAAACGTGATATAAATCATAGTGCATCGGGTATGTATAAACAACTTCAAGTAAATGTTCGGTGATACACGACATGTTGTTGTTGTTTTCACATACAGAGAAAAGACAAAACTGAGTAGTTCATCGTTTGGCCACATTGGTATCGCCGCGATACAGCGCTGCAAACAGTGCATGCAGCGTTACCGCGATACTATCGCTACGGTATCGCATTCGCCTCGGTATCGCGTATCGCGGTTCGCTCTGGTGTGTGCGGCTCCATAAGGCTCCATGGTATCGCACGGACCACTGGTATCGCAAGAGAATTTCCAAGAAAAAGTATCGCGCCCGCTCCAGTATCGCACGGAGTATCGCTCTGGTGTGTGCAGGGCTCTAGTTAAGTTATTGTTATTGACGATCCTTAATTTGCAAATTCACAGGGAACTTAATTTTTAATTTTTTTTATTAGTTAAAAAATCTGCCGCAATGTATGGGGGGGAGGGAATTTAAACACATTACCAACAACCGTTTCATTATTAATTTAATAAATTGAAACATGCAAAAAAGAAAGTAGGTACTCAAGTCTTTAAAAAGTAAATACAAAGTATTTTTGACCGAGTTTGTATATAATATGTATTGTATTAATTTTGTTTTAATTCCCCACCTTCACATTCTATGGACATTAGGCTGTCAACATTAGAAACCGTTTAACAAATTAATTCAGGCTAGACCTAGACGGTAGCACTGTTACATAGCTAAATAAATACATTGGTAATTGGTAGGATTTGAACCAGGGACATCGGGGACCAAAGCCCAGTTCTCTACCACTAGACTGCACATTAATGGTTGTTTGGACCAATAGTAAGTTCACAGTATATACCGAAAAAACTTGTTTGAGATAACATAGTTTTACAGTTATTGTTTTGTATAAATATTGACTGCAAAATTTTGCTATTCAAAACCTTTTGTCTGACAATGCTTTGAATTTTGTGAATACAACGTTAGTTTGAAACAAGTTATATAATTTTATCAAACAGCTACAGCTAATTGGAGGAATTAGTTGAGGCTACTTTTCAGGCTTCTTCTGTTTGGAGCTTTTGCTTCTTGTTTTGAACACACTAGGGTCGATTTGGTTCAGAGTTGGATCAAAGCGAGGACTTCGTACATCCTGTTCAGCCAAGAGATGAGGACAAATCATGAACATCATTTGCTGGAAGGAAAACAGGAAACATCAAATGTCAAATCTGACCTGTATTTTCATACAGTTGTAAAAAATCATAAGAAATATCTGAGTATATTCATTATAAGTTATCAGCTTTATATTTTTACATTAATCTCTCGCCCTTACTCTTGGGGTCTGGGGAGAGTAGCACATGCTTACTACTTTCTTTCGAAGAAGCCCCTCGCAGGGCCAAATAACAAATGAATTGTTTTGTAAACCTGTTGTGTGCTATCAACTGTCTGGAACTTATCTTAATGTATCCCCGGGGTATCCAACATTTTTTTCAGGTACACAAGGACACTAATTCAGACCCGCGGTTTGCATTTGATGCGCTGGTCGGAGAGATAACTGTGCCCCCCTCCACCTACCTTGATGGAGAAGCTTCCTCTTCCTTGCGCCCCCAACACACCTGATGCCTGGTGTGATTGGTTGTTGGTTGACCTCTTGCGCCTCAGGACCTTCTTTAATTTTTTATCATTGTGTATGAAAATTGTCAAAGTTGATAAAAGTACATGTGTGGATGTGTGTCATGTGTATTCGGTAGAAGGTAATTGAACCTTTCCTCAATATCATCAGAAAATTCATGACTTAATGCGCAATAAGTTTAGCTTCTATAACATTCCAAAAATGTTACACCTTGGCAGCGCTCTATTTTTCCAACTTCCATGGTACCATGGTGGTCACTCACCTCGGCCCATGGTGTTAGCCCCATGGGTGTAAACCTGAATTGCCACTGAGGTAGACCTTGATGGACCAACATCATGCGGAAGTATTGAGTGAAACTTTCAGCCAGAAAGTGCCACTCATAGCTGCGATCCAACAGCCATATCTTCGGCTCCTCCTTCTTCGTGTCACCTTCTGGTTTCTCCATGTAAACGAGGCAAACCTGTTGAGGATTTGTGAAATGTAATTCCGACAATGAATCAACAACTCAAAAGAGGAAATATCATGTACTTAATCCCCCATAGGTTATACAGTATCATCTTCCACACCACTTTTAAGATAAACAAAACAAACCTGTCATTTAACCCTGACCATTGTCCAAATTCTCACTTTGCTAAGCCATCCTCTCTACTCTACTATTTCACTCCATTACATAAGTATTTTTTGTCAAGGTTTAGCACTAGAAAACAATGTTGATAATTGTGCAAATACTGCTTGAAAAAAATTATTAGAACAGGTTCAAAAGCTTCTTTATATTAGGACTATTTAACCAGCTTAACGAAGCATACAGTGTGGATAGTGGATTTTAAAGAAATAACAAAAACAAATTATAGTCAAGAACGACTTTCTAGCTACAAAGTTGTAAATTTGACTAAAACTTTGACTAAAAAATATGTCAAAGCAGGTAAATAAAATCAAAAATTTTAATTAAAGACAGTGAAAAGAGACTCACTTTTGCAACATTTTGACAAGGATCGAGCTCAAATATTTTACACTTGGGTCCGAAGTTGGGTTTGGGTGATCTTGGCTCAGAGACGTTACATATCTCAATGTCAAGAAGGTTTGGACAATCTGTATCTCCCGATGTCTTCACACCAGCCAATCGTTTCAGCTCTGCTATCGAGTTGATCCTTAGATTGCCAATCGGGAGTATTTCACCTGCACACTCTTTCATTATCAGTATCAATAGCCTTGAGTCTTGACCATGTTATTTTAGGGGTTATTGTGGACATTTTCCATTAAACTTTGTAGGCTACAATGTTTTCACAAAGTATTGGGAAATGGAATTTGCTCCCGTACTTAAGGTGAGAAATCTGATTAGGCCTATATCAAGATGAGTACACAAACCCATCCGAAGCTGGAAAATCACTTAAGAAAAACCAAACGGAGTACTGTATTCTAGTCAAAACAAGAAACAAAACTCCTGAAAGAAAAAAAAATAGGCTATTACCACAACCTATAATGTTGTTGGGTTGGTGCAACACGAAGATCTTTGGTTAATTTAGACCCTGCCTAGATGCAGGCCAAATAGTGTCTGGAAAGAGAATGACCACTTCCAGTAGGTATTTTCTTTTCATCAATTTAATATCATCTGTCCTAAAATATTTTAAAACAATTCCCTAGCACTAGCAAAGCCCATTAGTTCAGAGCATAACTTTGATATCCGACTCCATTGTATTATCAATTAAGAGAATTGATATATAAAATTGGGTTTTGTTTAGTTTAATTTTGGCTATCAAAGAGTTGGATATCAAAGTTTTCCTAATTAGGAACATAAAAATTTAGTGTGTGGTTTTCAAATTTATAGTTATCGGTTGTAATTTATAATTCACTCCTTTCATCAAGAAAATGCAAAAACTTCTTTACCTGCATACTCGTAGTTCCATATAAGTCTAAAACCATCGGTAGAGGAGTAGAATTGTCGGACGTCTTCTGGTAAGGAACACAAATGTCTCTGTTCCCAAGATGAGATTAACATCCGCTCGCACGGAAGACGTTTCTCCAGCTCTATACCCTGGACTCCAGGTGTGTTTTCTGTGGAGTGTAAAAATGATATAAATTACTATAATATAGTTGTATTTTATCAAATTAAACCCATATAATTTCATTATACATAACTCAACAGATCTATGATTGTCACCACACTTTCTTCTCTTAAATTTCTCATTGGTCAAATCAGACTAATGCTTCAAAGTGCTGATGATTAAATAAACACATTAAAATTTAATTAAGCATTTCAATTGGTTTCGTAGGTACAATTTTATACTGGAGTATAAGTAGGTAGCTTACTTTAAAGGTAAAAGTTGGATGTTGTACTTCATAAAATCTCACCTAAAAGTTTTGTCAAACCTAAGCAAATGTTCTCATAGAAAGAGTCCTCTGAAACTACATCAACCACAAAAGTCATTTTCTTTTGTAATAATTGAAAAAACAATTCACTCAATGAGTTCAATGGATTTTCAATTTAGCGCCATTGATTCAGCAACAGCTGTTGTCATAGAGACACTTTTGCTTTGGACTTCTCGCTCACTATTGGTATTTGGATGCCAGTACTGTAATACTTTATACAGGAAAATGGAAACTCATCTGGCAGAAGTAGCTATGGTTATATCACATGATTGTTTTATGGTAGGTAATGTTATATGTTATTTTATGTTTATTCATATATTTTCCTTCCACCATGATGTTTATTAGTATAGTATATTACGTTACTAGTCCTGAAAATAAGTGTTTGCCGGACGCTGAATTTTTATTTCAGGATTAGTGTTGCCTACAGCATTATTTTGAGGCTTCTGATTGGTTGAGGGAACATCATTACCGCGACGATACGGTTGTTGCCATTGGCCTCGGTGGTGTAGTGGATAGAGTAATGGGCTGATGATCCGAAGGACCCGGGTTCGAATCCCACCCGTAGCACTATTTTTTTGTATTGGATTTTTTTCATTATCAACAAGTTTGGTTGGTTTGGTTAGGTTATGACGGTTTAATTTTATAATTAAAACATTACGAAATTGAATTTGACCCATTTATAGTTTTATTTTATGAACATTTTTTTTTTCGGTTAAACCTTCATTTGATTTTTCATTATAAGCAAGTCTGGTTAGTTTGGTTAGGTTATGATAGTTTAATTTTAGAATAAAACAATTTAAAATAGGATTTGAGGCATTTATAATTTTATTTTATGAACAGAACTATTTTTTCGATTAATAAACCTTCATTAGATTTTTTCATTGTCAGCACGTTTGGTTGGTTAGGTTAGGTTATGACGGTTTAATAAAAAAAAATATATACAGGGTGTTTTTTTAAAAACTTGCATCTTTATTTATGTAAAAACCGCAATAGATAGAAAGATGCAGTTTGCGGGAATCATCTATTGACGTAGGGGGACCAATTGTTTTGAATTCAACGTTACATTCACATTCCCCCCCTTTCCCCCCCCTGCCACCAACTTATTTTTTTTAAATAGCAAGGTACCCCTTGTGACATATCAAATAAAAGAGCATAAAAAAAGAAAATGTTTGATGAAGAAAAATTGAAAATCGGTTCATAAATTTGTGAGATATTCCCCCCCTCACCCCCCCCGGAACTTAATTTTTTTTAATAGCAAAGTACCCCTTGTGACATATCAAATGAAAGAGCATGAAAAAAGAAAATTTTTGGTGAAAAAAAATTTAAAATCGGCTCATGAATTTGTGAGATAATCACCCCCCTTTTCCCCTACCCATAACTTGTTTTTTAATAGCAAGGTACCCGCCCTTGTGACATATCAAATGAAAAATAAATTTCGCCAAATTTTTTCTTTTTTCTTGCTCTTTCATTTAATATGTTACAAGGGGTACTTTGCTATTAAAAAAAATTAAGCTCCGGGGGGGTGAGGGGGGAAATATCTCACAAATTTATGAACCGATTTTCAATTTTTTTTCATCAAAAATTGTCTTTTTTCATGCTCTTTTATTTGATATGTCACAAGGGGTACCTTGCTATTTAAAAAAATTAAGTTGGTGGCAGGGGGGGAAAGGGGGGGAATGTGAATGTAACGTTGAATTCAAAACAATTGGTCCCCCTACGTCAATAGATGATTCCCGCAAACTGCATATTTCTATCTATTGCGGTTTTTACATAAATAAAGATGCAAGTTTTAAAAAAAACACCCTGTATATATATATAAATTGAATTTGAGGCATTTATAATTTTATTCTATGAACAAAAATAATTTTTCAATTACTAAACCTTCGTTATAGTCAATCAGAAGCCTCTAAATGACACTGTTGGCAAAATTTATCCTGAAAAACAAATTGTGCTTACCGGACGAGTGTGGTCGTTCCCGTGCGAGACGAAGTCGAGTACGGGATTACCATACGAGTCCGGTACACATATTTTGGACGAGTTACGTACGATAGTTTACGCCATACCACTTAATCCGTACAAATCCTTATATATTTCCACCAACTAAAGGAGTAAAAATCACTAGTCATAACCTCCAAGAGAGGTTATGGACTAGTAACGTAATATACTATTGCATAGATAATATTAGGGTCTGACTTAGGGGAGGTACAAATGAGGCATTTAGTTCAAAATTCCTCCGTGAACAGCGCTGTAGTAAAGAGCACTTTGGCAAGGAAGGTTTACTAGTCGCAAAAATAGTCCTGTTCATAAAATAAAATTATAAATGCCTCAAATTCAATTTTACTATTTTTTAATTAAAAAATTAAACCATCATAACCTAACCGAACTAACCAAACTTGCTGATAAAGAAATAATATAACAAAAGTTTAGTAATCGGAAAAACAATTCTTTTTATTAAATAAAACTAGAAATTGTTTAATTAAAATTTTATAATGACTTAATAATAAAATTAAACTGTAATAACCAAACCAAACCAACCAAACTTGCTGATAAAAAAAATCTTGGACAAAAAGTTGATGCTACCAGCAGGATTCGAACCCGGGACCTATAGTATATCAGCCCGGCACGCTAACCAATAGACCACCGAGGCCGATGGCTTTTGAACGTTTTGTTACGGTAATGGCGTTCCCTCAGCTAATAAGAAGCCCTCAGCTGTCATCGTAGCCTCTTCTATACCTCCCCTGAGTAAATACCATAATATTATATTAGTTTTGGTTTTCTAAGCATCACACTGAATTCGTAAATAATGACTATATAGACTATGAGTGCAAGTAGACTCTTCTTGTGAAAATTAAATATCCTTCTTGGATCATTGATTATATGTATAATTGATTATACATGAAGATGTATAATCAATGCTTATATCGACATTTTTACCCTTTATAGTGAAGGAGGTGAACCACGAATACTGAATACTGCGAATACTAGCAAAGCATGTTTTGTTTTAGTTCAGTCGGAAACACCCGACTGATATTCGTTGAATATGTTGGTTATCTTGCTATGCAGTATTGTTGTTTCTTCATACAAAATTCAAAATCATACAATAAAGTTGCCAGAATTTATTAAAACTTCATTAGTATTTTTTTCTAAACAATTGACCAATAGATGCGCAAAGAGAGAATTACAAAAAAACATATAATTTCCTAAGAAATTACGCATTTATATACATTTTTTACATAATGAGTTAATTTTTATATTTATCAAGTATTTGGAACACCACTGGTAATTGTTATACCTAAGAATCATGAATGATAATTCATTATAGTATGTTACAAAACTTGTTATGGTACTTTTTTTGTTGGCTAACGAGTGTTTCTCACATGCCACTTTCCACTTGGAATAGTTGGAATATTACACAATTCCGTTCCGTGATGCGGAGAACATTTTAACAACGCTCCTTGAACTTACTGATTCCAACCAATGATATTGAGATTTCTGTATAAACACTAGAAATTTTAGTGCGGGAATAACCTTAATTTAAAAGTCGGCGTATTTTGTCTTGCACATTGTATCTGTTCTTTCTTCTACTTTTTGTTTTATTCCAGTTGTTTTACATTTTGGCAGAACGCCATTGTGTTGCCGGCCGGAGCAGGCAATAGTTTGATTCAGCGTGGGGTAATTTCGAAGGCTTCGAGCCTTGGGTTTTATTTGTTAAGGGTTTTTAATAGCCGCAACCATTTTCGCCCAGGTTAACTATCAACCAACGATGACGGAGCTACAGGCGACGCCTGTTTCTCAGGAATCGTTGGCTGCTGCACAGTTAGAGCTCGGTGGTAATCAAAATGCCTTAGCGTTGAGACGACCTTTTGATCCAGCTGCTCATGATTTGGAGCCTTCTTTCCGGCTTACTCGATTTGCTGATTTGAAGGGCAGAGGCTGCAAAGTCCCACAGGAGGTACTCTCAAAACTGTTGGAAGGGCTTCAACATGATGAAAACAACTCTCAAGATCATGAACACGCCCATTTTATGCATATGGCCATCCCAAGATATGGTAAGTACTCTTATTAACTTATCTTGTTTTCTTAGGCCTAGGCCTTTTGTGCCTCTAAGACCCAGGTTCATACAGATGACAGATCTATAGGCCTAGGCGTCTGCTTAAAAGTTTAATAGCCTAGGTACCCGTAATTAGTCCAACACAGGTTGTCATAGGTCTACTAACTTAGGTAGGCTACCCTCCAGGTCTATGTCACGTTCCATTTTTTCTAGGATGATGATTGCTTTTGCTGCTAATTTCCTGGTGTCCTATTATCCTATCAGTAATGTTTTAGAAGTAATGCCTTAGCGTTGACAGATTTGTTGCAGCTCCTCACTTAACGGGGATTCTAGAGAATTCCCTGTTCTGGTTTCTGCCTTTGTATTCCTCTCTCTAGGCCTCTAACTTAGCGTGCGGCACCTGCCAGACCATGTGAAACCCCCCGATAGGAAGCAATAGCCCTTTGCTAGTAACTTAACTAAGTTTAAGTCCGGTGTTGACTCCACATGTCCGGTGGGAATTCGCACCGGATGCCTGAAAAGACTCAACTGCTCTCATAAACAGTGTTGGGAAGTAGGCTAGCGCGCTACAAGTAGCAACGCTACAGTAGCGCGCTACTTTTTTTGTAGCGTTAGCTGTAGCTACGCTATTTTTAAGATTTTGTAGCTTTAGCTGTAGCAAGCTACATTTTTAAAGTAGTTGTAGCGGAATTTTAGCTACTTTTCTCGCTACATTTACATTTGTTTGAGATAGTGATTTTTATCATAACCTCAACCTTACGTGAAACAACCTCTTTCAAACTGAGATTTTCAAAAAAAAATAGGCCTACTTTCCTGGCTTCAAACAGCTGGTTGCAGCCGTTTCATCCCCTATTAGGCCTACAACGTTGTGTGGACATAGAGGCCATTAAATGAGTGTTATCCACATTTTTGGCTCTCATTTCCTTAATTTACTACTCTTTGATTACTGTCAGATAAAATAAAATCGCTAGATGCTTGCAGACGACGTTTAAACGGTGCGTACCGGTGACAAGAGAAGGTATATTGAATTATTGAATTGAATGCTTGCAAGTGATTGACAGGACAGGGGAATTAGTAATCAATTTAGTTTCTTTATTATATCGATAATGCTTCAACTTGGGGTTTAATGGAAACCAACACACCTTGAAATAATGAAAAGCTGGTCTATCAACCTTTGCTTCAGCTGTTGATTGTGGTTTATCATCACAAGCCCTTCCTTGGTTAGATTACGAAGATTTTTCAAAGGTTTACTAAATTAGCAAAGAGGAAATTACCTGATGAGATTTAAGATATGCCTAGACTACATGATAATTGTAATGAAAAAATCTCCATATAACATGAAACTTGAAAAATAGCATAGTTTGCTCCTGCTAACAGCTCTTGTATAGGACTGAGGCTATGGTTTAAGAGTTTAAGACGAATACCAAGTTCAATTATTATGAATATCTGTTTAGTCCTTGCAAGAACAAGCCTACTATAGCCAACTTGTTACATAGCCAAGTAGGCCTACATGTTATTTTTACTTTACAAATTTCATCATGTTTAAATTAAAAGCCGATTTCAGGATAAGTTGCTGAATACTGTTTTCTCTACCAACTAGGTTGAAGCACAATTTAATTGCCATATGCATAATGACAATAAAGGACGATTTCTTGACATTGAAAAGTGTTATTCGTAGGATAAGTAATTTATCACTTTTAAAGTTATAGCAATGTTGTTTTTAACATTAAAAGTAAAGAAAGGCAATAAACTCCCATTTCAGTAGGCTAGGCTCTGTAACACAAAAAGTATTTTTAAATAATCTTTTTGCAGTTTTATTGGTCTTAGTTGTTGATATAAAACATCTATAAATGAATCTATATTAAATTAATAAAATTAGCTTTTAAAATATAGTTTGGTTGTATGTCCTTTGAACTTAATGAAAATTACATATTTTAAAATGCTTAAAAATAATGCAATGTAATGTTAGGTTTATAATGCCCACAAATTAAATACAATCTAGGAATAATTTGTTTTCCAAGTAATGTTAGATACAATACTGACATTTTTTTAAATGTTTGTTCAAATAAAAATGTAGTTGCAATTAATTTTACATTTACCTAATGTGCGTGGAATAAAAATTAACGTCTTTGGAAAAGTAGCTAAAATTGTAGCTGTAGCTACATTTCATTGTAGTTGTAGTTGTAGCTAGGCTACTTTTTTGGAACTGTAGCTGTAGCTGTAGCTAAGCTCCTTTTTTGGAAATGTAGCAGTAGTTGTAGCTAGCTACATTTTAAAAGTAGCTTCCCCAACACTGCTCATAAACTTAGCCCACTGCCGCATCAGGCAACCGCCGGGGTTCACTTCCATATCTGTTGGCACAAACAACCGAATGAGCAATATTGATTATTCGATTGTATAATTTGATACATCCTTTGGTTAGTTAGGTTAGGTTAACCTTACCTAACTAACCAAATGATATATCAAATAATCGATATTATCGATCGATATTTTCATTCGGGTGTTTGTGCCAACAGGTATGGAAGTGTACCCAACCGCCGCATGGCGCATAAGTTACGTGTTGATTGTGTGAAAACCAATGTCCAAAATGCTATGTATCCATTAAGTTAGCCACACACTTTAAAATTATTGTTTGGTTTTTAAAACAGGCCTAACTTAATGATGGATTCAAAACCAAAAAAAGTTTTGAGTTTAGTGTTCCATAACCCCAACCTACGTAATTTTAAACATGTCGTACGCCCAAGACATATTTTAAGGTTACCTATTGTAAGTTATTCAAAATGTTTTTAACCCTTAAAAATATGCTGAACCTTTTTTATTCAAGTCATAAAACCGTATTGTGGCAAGTCTAGTTCAGATAATTCACACAGCTAACTAGGCTTATCAGGTTTTGAGCGAATTGTAATTAACGTGCAAGTTGTTTCCAATAATACCTAAGTTTACTTTCTTCTCTAATTCATATAAGCTGTAATTTAATTTGACATATTTCCAGGCATTGGTATGGATGCTTCAGTCACACCACTTCGGAATGGAGGCCTTGTCCTTGTTCAGACAACTGACTTCTTCTATCCTTTGGTCGATGACCCTTACATGATGGGTAAGAATTACAACTATCTTATCATTAGTTGATTGTTTTTTAACCCCCATTTTCTATGATCAAAGTTAAAATTTAGATTAGGGGGCCTATATAAAAATCTAACAATTTATTTTAACCTGCAAGTAAGCTCACTCGACTTATGGCGAGTTAAACTCAGTGACTCAACAGGTGAGATTTTTTTCTCTCTTTTAAATTTCTAGATGTGGAATAAATTAACTAGGTACGGTAGACTCCCTCTTAACCAGACTCCTCAGGAGCGCGGCCAGTACGGATTTAAATGGGTTTTCCGGTTAAACCGATTTCCCCAAAAATTTGTTAGAACTGACCGATTGAATGCATCCTGTATAATGTAACCCTAATATTTGACATAAATTTAGGAGAGCATTGTACCTATTTAGACGTGATCACTGGTCTCAAATCTTTCCCACGAGAACATTTGTTTCAGTACCACCTACTTCCTGCCGATTTAGTCCAGTTAAAGAAACCGGATGTGCCGATAAAAATTGTCCAGCTTAAGTTTAAGGGATGTCATTTCCGCCGAGTGTTGTCCGGTTATAAGGTGTCCGGATAAGAGGGAGTCTACTGTAGCTACACATATTCTTGTTATATAACGAAACTTTCAAGTTATTGTAAGTATTGAATTAAAGTAGGCCTACATTATTTATATTGTTTTTACACTAAAGTTGAAAAGTTTTTTGTTCCAGAAATAGCAAAAACATAGTTTGATAATGGCTCTGTGTTTGTTGTTGACTAAAATAAGAAAAATCTCTAGCCTAATCAGCAAAGTCTTCTTTATCAGTGCCTATGCCAGTGAAATTTTTGTGTTGAATTATTAAGTCATCTATCAAATGACATGTATTTTACAGTGTTTTTCTAATACCTATCCTCAACATAATTCATCCTTAAAATAAATATTCTATGTGAAACTAAAAAAAAAAATTCTATACCTATTTTTTTACTAATGATTCAATTAATTAACTTAAATGTACCTAACTTAATAAATACAGGCGAGATAACTTAGCCTAATAAGTTAAATAATTAAACTGCTCAGTTACTATCCTTTTCAAAATTGTTAGGTCTACCATAGTCAATGTTTTTCTTTCATTTAATTAGTTGTTTCCAAATTGCCTAGATAAATAAATGTTTTAACTACTGTACAATGTGTTTCTTCTTTAAATTAATTTGAACGATGCAAATTTATTCTCAATTAATTTTAACCACAAATTTCCCAGGAAAAATCGCTTGCGCCAATGTGCTAAGTGACTTGTATGCGATGGGAGTTACAGAAGTGGATAATATGCTGATGCTCCTTGGGGTCTCGACAAAGATGACTGAAAAAGAGAGGGATGTTGTGATTCCTCTTGTCATGAGAGGTTTTAAGGTAAGTTTTAAATCCATGTAAGTTATCTTGGTAAAAACATATAGAGAGGTATGTTTTAAAAACAACTCTAAAAACAACTTTAGAGGTATGTTTTAATAAATTTATTAAAACATACCTCTAAAGTTGTGTGCTGTAACTTAAGATGATGTTTTATAAACTGTAATTTCAAAATAAGAATATTATTCTTTGTGTGTTTGAAAATCGGGATTAAGACAAGACTGAGACACCGACTAATCATTCATGAAGTACCGTACAATGAAAAGAGGTTATGTCCCAAACCACACCTAAGACACCACTTCCTCCAGTTTTATCTTTGAACTCGTGTGGGAAATTAACTCATTTCTATATTTAAGTTCCTTTAAATGTAGCCTACATTGGATTAAGCAAACACAATGTGATATGACAAAAACCAATTTCTCAATTCAATAGAATTTTTCATGTAGAAAATGTGAAAGATCTTTTGTAAGATCTTGTGAAATTCCGCTCACCTTACCTTGTGGGAAAAACTAATTAGATAGGTTAACACGTTCACAGACGTTTTTACTCTAGTGTGATATACCCTAATGTATCGCCTTTGTGAAAAAGTCTGAGGTAAGGTGAGTGTGTCCCTAGCCTAAGGCAACTGATGTAGTTTGCTTGTTTATGTATATATTTTGACAAAATTGGTCAAATTTATTTCATAAGCTTTTAATTTTTCACTAAAAACAGACTTTGATATGTGACGGCCCCAAAAATTCCCAGACCCATCATACAGTTGGGTCTACCCAGACATATCAGTTGGGGAGGTTTTTGCTACACCCTCAAGAAACCCTGTCCGTCACAAAAGCTTTGCTTTATTTCAAATATAAATATTGGACTGTTAACCTCCATACTTTTTGCGTTAGCCAGTAGTTGCCTCACCATGGAATATTCCGTCAGCGTGGCTCAGCGCTAGGCCAGGCCAACGTTCTCGGAAATGTAACGTGCGTGGCTGGAATTCACTGAGACAGCTCAGCAGGTCGCTCGATGAAATCAGTTAATGCACAGCTACAGTTTGCCTAACGCCCTGAGGAATCGTTAGACAGCAGCACTGTCCAGTGTTTGCACTGACGTTACGCGGCATAGCCGCAACGGGATTGGCTGGTTCCCCTCCACGCCCAACTCTGGGCTATGGACAGAGATCACTCAGTTGAGTTAGTCTAAATTCCTACCGTAATTCAATTCGGTCGGTCATCTAAATTTCCACGTCGCATCGCCTTTCCCCATAGCCTCCTCGGGAGGCTATGTTTCCCCCATTCTTCTAAAATGTATTTTATCATGAAAATCTGTACATTAACTTTGTAGATCTAAACAACTCATTTCAAAATTGTATTCTCTAGCCTATTTCTTCTCGAAGTTTGTAAACTAAACGTAGATTAATCATACAGCAAGTCGGAAGCTACATCTTATTTTTTTGTCATAAGTTTAATAAACAACTTATTTGTAGCGCATTTCATTGTTTCATTCGGCTACCTGTCACAGATACTAGGCCTACCTTCCTTGTAAGGGCAAACCTAATTGCCCCTTAAAACTAGGACTACCGGTAATGTTTTTTTTTTGTTTCATTAGGGAATAAATCTGACAAGCTTAAGGATATATTTTTTAGTGAAAAGCCAACAAGGCAAATAGAAATTTACCTAGTCTGCAGGTTTGCTGTAGTGCTGTAGTGGGGGTAGGTCCCTATTATTGCTGAGACAAAACATTAGTTTCAAACATTTAGCATTATCTTTGACATGTTTACATCTTTTAGGAGAAAACAATTAGAAGCGTGGGCTAAATTTGTAATGTACAAGATGACTGTAGGCTACTCAAAGTTTTCATGGTTGCCATCTTAAAGGGTTGGGGTGGTGAATTTCTTCTATATTATGTTTCTTCAATAACTGTTCAAAACATCTTTAAATTTATTTTACAACTTAATATTTTATAGGACTCTGCAATGGAAGCTGGTACCTCGATCACAGGAGGCCAAACTGTTGTGAATCCTTGGGTTACCATTGGTGGTGTTGCCTCCACAGTGTGTCAACCAAATGAATACATTGTGTAAGTAATTATTGCTAATTTTAAGTGTGACTACCCTAAAACTTGTGAGATGGAATAAATGTATGATTAAAATGTCTATTTATCAAGGGATTCTCAAACTTTGTTTTATAAAAGCTGTTTCCATAAATTGTCATTTAGAGCTGTGCTCAACTATTTCTAAAAGAAAAGACTTCTCCTAATGCATGAATTAGTTGGTGTCCTCCCATCATTGTGTCGACATGTGATAAAAAACATTTTTGAATTGGGTACTGCTGTGACGGATGAAATTAGTTATGGAATGCTATTGTAATGTTATTTATTGTGGCAAATGCTTAAATTAATAAAATAATCTGAATTAATATTTTAATTTGACAAAAGTATGGTTATTGGTTGGCTGATCAGTAGCGCAACTATAAATTATAGCAGTGATCTTTTGGTTCGCATCCTGATGGGTTTCTTAAAAATATTACATCCATGCATTAACATCCGTAGCAGTTAACGCAACGGTTCCGTAAAGATAGTGTTAACGACACGAGTAGAAAATGTAAGATACGAGCCTTGGCGAGCACCTTAAAAACTTCTACAAGTGTTGTTAACACTATTTACGCAAGTTGTGTACACCACATTACCTACAACAGTGTGTTTTAATTACTAAAAATCACTACTTATAATTTCGAAAAGAGGTTGCCTTTTGTTTTCGTTTATAACCTCTCATTGCGACTGACAGTCATGCAACGAAGCATTGTACCAAACACTGTGCACCACTCAACAATGAAATGGGCCTGAACAGCTGATTAGTTGAAGTTCCAATCATTATAATTTTACTTCTTTCTTAATCCTTAAATCTCATTGGTCCATTACCCGTGTTGTTATGAGTAAAACTATGCTGTTATGTGAAACTTTTCAATTTTAAGAACTGAACTGAAACAGCTACCTACTTTAAAAAACGGTTGTAGGTAAAATAATGAAATGAATGCAATCGTGTAACACTTGTCTTGCTGATCACCAGATTATTGATGAGTTTTTCTACCACTTCTTGAATAGGCCTCAAAACTTTGTTATTAACTGTTTTGGCTTTATAATATATTTTATTGAACTCATAGTTTGAGCTGAGTTTCAGACAGATTGGTAAAGTTCTACTTGGAAAATTGGACAAATTTGTTTGAGAGAACTTTGTTGGAATAGAAACGAGTCTTCAACAATTGTTTCTCAGAATAAGTACATTGTCAAGACCTATATCACATGGAAGATGTATGCCTAACACAAGTTGTTGCTGTTTAGGCCAGACAACGCTGTGGTAGGGGATGTGTTGGTGCTGACCAAGCCTCTCGGCACCCAAGTGGCAGTGAACGCACACCAGTGGCTGGACCAACCGGAAAGGTGGAACAGGATAAAGCTGGTGGTGTCTGAGGAGGACGTGAGGAAAGCGTACCAACGGGCGATGGACTCTATGGCTAGGCTCAACAGGATCGGTGAGTTAGTAGTGCCACAAATCCAGGGAATTGTTAAGAAAATCACCAGACAACTTGTTGATCTAATTGTGACTTATCTTTAAAATATTTATGATAGTACTAGTAGTAATTAAGAATTGGTTTAATGGGTCAAAATCAAAATAAAATCAGATTAAAAATTTTTTTTTCAAAAACACTCCGTTAGATATTTGCCTTTTTGTGTAAGGCTCTTAAAAACGATTGAAGATAGATCTTTCTCAAATGTAGCTTCCATTTTAGATTAAAAAACCCTAATTAGAAAAAATTTTCACTAAGTTTAGGCTAACAAATATTTCTTTTGTTTGAAAATGGCGGTCATTTAAATTTTACTACTTAAATTTCAAAAACATTGCTGGTTTTATGAAAAAATGCTAAGAACTTACTTAAAGTGAATCTTCTATTGGGAATTAAACCTCTGAACTGTTGTTTAAAGGTAATCCAGTTGGTTTACATTTCTTCTTAGAGATAAAAAGTAAATTCATGATATGAATATAATTTTGATTTGTTTGTTACAGCTGCGCGATTGATGCACAAATACAACGCACACGGAGCCACAGATGTTACAGGGTTCGGCCTGTTGGGACACGCACAGACTTTAGCTAAGCATCAGAAGAATGAGGTCTCGTTTGTGATACACAACTTGCCTGTTATTGCCAAGATGGCTGCTGTCGCCAAAGCATGCGGAAATATGTTTCAACTGCTCCAAGGACACTCAGCAGAAACCTCAGGTACGTAATTAATGATTACTTATTTATTTTTAACATAATAGTGGAACTTGGCCTGATAAGAACAAACTTGTTTGTAGGTAGTCAAGTGGGATAGCTAAGATTGGCTCTCAAAGAGTAGACTACCGATTGCTGGCTATTTTCAGATGTCAAATACGTTATCATAGACTAAGCAACACAAGTAGATTCCTCATCCCATTGTAAAATTTGAAGCTTGTTTTTCGTGTCTATTTCAAGTACGTCCACACTGTTTGGGAATTTTGTTTCTATTATTTTAGGATTATTTTCTTGATTTGTGCTTTACTATTTGGTTATATAACTAGGAGACCAGTAATTGTTTATGATTATATTATTTTATTTGGTTAAATGAGGTTTTAAATGATGACTGAAATAACAAAAAAAAACCAGTTGTTAGACAAAACAATTGTTTACTCAAATTGTTGTTGTAAACAAAAAAACGACCTCTGCAGTTGGATGTACAGAACTAACAATTAAATTGTATTCAGCTGTTCCATAGGGATGACAAGTCTACTAAGGGAGTATGATTTATCTATGACGTTATCCAATGCTTTACTGTATGTGCTATGCTCCTCAAGGGTATATTCTTATAGTTAATGTTTTCTACAGGAGGGCTGCTGATTTGCTTGCCACGTGAACAGGCTGCTGCATACTGCAAAGACATTGAGAAGCAAGAAGGCTATCAGGCATGGATCATAGGAATTGTAGAGAAGGGAAATAGAACAGCCAGGATAATCGACAAACCAAGAATCATCGAAGTGCCTACAAAAGAAAAAGACGGAGAGTTGTGGTAGTTAAGTGTGAAAAATTCCTGCCGGTTTATTATGTAAGATTTAAGTAAGTTTTGTTCTCACATTAATATTTTTATACCAACTATGTATTGTGGACGGTTTTTAAATTTTTAATTTTTTTATTAATACATTTTTTACATCACAGTTAATAATTGAAATGTCATGTTCTAGCATCGAGTACCACCAGTTATTTATTACATCTCGAGTGATATGTATAGATTAATGGATGTTTTTACAAATTGTAATCTCTGTCTGAAGTGATTTTGTACAAAGTCAAGTATTAGCCTAATCGCTTGTCTCTCGCTTTCCTGTTTTATGTTCTTGATCTGTTGTGATGTTTGCAAGGCGATTAAATGAAACTATTATATTCATTCACTTTTTCCTTTGTTTTCCTTGTGTGTGAACATGTGTATCACTATTTTTATTTATTCAAAACGTCTAGGCATATTATTATAACTAGATAGTACCTGGAGACCGAGCTTTGCTCGGGGAAAATCATTAGTTTACTCTGAAAGTAGTCTTAATATTGCAGATACATAAATCCATTCCCAAACTTCACACTGCTTGCCTTTACTACTTCCTTCACCACTCCCTACGTCGTTGATCTGTTTCCCCCCATTCGCATTGCATGTTAGGATTGTAGATACCCTTACTAATCGTTATTAACAGTTCCCACACTCCGGACAGCTCGCCTTGATTACTTCCTTCACTACTTCCTACGTAGCGGACCTGTTTTCCTCCCTTCCCATAGCATTTTAGGATTCCAAATACCTTAATATAATCGTCATAAACAGTTCCCACACTCCGGACTATTCGCCTTGACTACTTCCTTCACCACTTCCTACGTCGCTGACCTGTTTTCCTCCCTTCCCATCCAGTTCTCACACTCCAGACAACTCGCCTTGACTACTTCCTCTCCACTTCCCACGTCACGGACCTGTTTCCCTCCCTTTCCATAGCATTTTAGGATTGCCCATACCCTTATCTAATCGTCATAATCAGTTCTTACACTCCGGACAGCTCGCCTTTACTACTTCCTTCACCACTTCCTACGTCGCGGACCTGTTTTCCTTATAAAACAAATAGCTCTCAAATAGCTCTTTGTGTATTAAAAGCTGAAACATAGTCAACAAGAATTAACATGACTGTCAGCCGTGCACTGGTTACCATAGGTTCTGGCGCACACCACTGGACTGGGAGCGTCGTGTAGTTACGTAGCGCGTAGGCCGTAACTACATGGCGCTCCCAGCGGTGTGCACCAGAACCTATGGTAACCACATCACAGCTGACGGTATATATTTAATTATTTTTGTCGATGGCATTTTAGGATTGCAGATACCTTAATCTAATCGTCATAAACAGTTCCCACACTCCGGACTTCTTGCCTTGACTACTTCCTTCACCACTTCCTACGTCGTGGACCTGTCTCCCTCCCTTCCCATAGCATTTTAGGATTGCAGATACCCTAATCTTATCGTCATAAACAGTCCCCACAATCCGGACTGCTCGCCCTTACTACTTCCTTCATCACTTCCTACGTCACAGACCTGTCACTCTCCCTTCCCATAGCATTTTATGATTGCCTTTACTACTTCCTTCACCAATTCCTACGTCGCGGACCTGTTTCCTTCCCTTCCTATAGCATTTTAGGATTCCAGATAGGCTACCTTAATCTAATCGTCATAAACAGATCCCACACTTCGCACTGCTAGCCTTTACTAGGCCTACAATGTATTGAGTAATCTTCAGTATAATCTTTGATCAATAGTAACAAGTGATGTTTTTCCTTTTGTACTGTATTTGTAATTTGCTAGTATACTGTGGGTAGTTGGCTTATAATGAACACATGCTTCAACTTCAAGTATTTTGTTTACTTTTCCTTGTTATTTAATTCAACCAACATGGTTACTTAGCAACCCATAAGACTAATGTAAAAAAAATATGACTTTCAGTTTCGTTTTTCTACGTAATTAGATTTTTGTTTGGGAGTTCTAACTGCATGAAGCTCGTTTTTAGGCCAAAAATAAACTATTTACAAGATTTGAAGAAAATCGTCGGAGCCGTTTTCGAGATCTTTCTGCAAGCAAGCAAGCATACATACAAGCAAACATTGCTCGTATTAGAGTATAGGATTCTTAACTTGATAGAAAGCTAAATAAAAGTGTTCTTAAACTTATTCCCAAAAATTTAACTGAACAAATTCAAATTGTGCCATTTTGAAACAAATAAACAAAATAAAAAAATTTAGTGATTACTTTTTCAAAAATAGTTTATTGCTGATATTTATCATTTTTAATTTAACCATACAGCAGTTTTGAGCTGCCCAAATTAAATTTAACTACAATGTATTCAATTGTAGGACCTATTGTAACCCTTAAATCCTTTTGCTGCATCTAAGATTATGACATTGAATCAAAACACTAAAATAAGTTTGGCCTACATCTCGTGTCAAATTTCTTTTCCTTGTGTCTACATTTTTAACCAAGTTAATTTGAATCTTAGACACTATTCACTACTGTGTGCTAACTAGTTACTTGTTGACTTTAATCCGGAAACCAACTCATTAAGAAACTAATGTTGGCAAATTTAAGTAACTAGTAGTGATGGGAACAACCGATTCAAAACAACTGATTCAATCGATTGTTGGTAAAAAAACCGATTCAATCGGTTGTAGTTTTTACAATCGGTTGAATTTTTGAACGACTGATTCGACTGAAATCATTTGAACATAGACTGGAAAAAGGCATAAGAACAATAGTATTTTATTTTATACGATTGAAAACAGTTTGAACTGGAAAACATTCATTTAGTCTAATAATATGCTTTCAACTGGTTTCATTCGGTGTTTAAAGAGACTGGAAACAGTCATCAGTCCGAATAGTATGTACGCAACTGTTTTCATTTGGTGTTTCATTCAACTGAAAAAACCGACTGAACAAAAAAACAACCGATTGATCAATCGGTTGTTAAATTCAATTGGTTGTTCCATCACTAGTAACTAGATAAAACACAAAATAATCATAGGTACTATACACCATTACTGTGTACATCCAAGGAATATACTTATAATACAAAAGATAATAACTACACAACATTTTTTAATCATTTTAATTATTTTCAGCAATACAGTATTTACAAAATCTATAAAAATAATGACTAGTATTCAATACATTGAAATGTAGGTGAATCTAAAATGTGTACTTTAGATCTTGTGGCTTCTTGACTAGAGACTTTGATTTGACAGTGTCTTTACTCTTGAGCAACAAACTGATGTACCTCCGTTGTTGATCTTCAGTCAAGGGCGAGTTTAAACTTGACGAATACTTGACCACTGCAGTACATCGTTCTAAATTTTCATGAATATCTGCAATATAAGTGTGAGAATTAATTGTTTTGTGTTTTAAACATATTTTTTCAAACACATTAGTGTTTAGTTTTTAAAACTTAGTTTTTCTTTGAGTACTATTACAGTGCTAAAATTAAAATGTTAACATTGTTAAAAGTAATATGCCTTCGATTAAATTTTAAAAATGAACACAATTTGTAGATTTCTCAACGGTGAAGTTAAACCCAATTAACTTCTGTTGTTAAAATCCATATTTTTTATCCCCTGAGCTGATCTTGTGACTAAATCAATAGAGTTGCCTTCGTCAATCAGCTCATAGTAGTTGTAACATTGTTACGGCTGTTTCAGCATCTTCAGACGTACAGCCTTAGTAGTGGTGTCCTTAATATACAAAAACACAAACTGTCACACGCAACGTACACATACATAAACATAGACAGGGGTTTTTGCCTAAACAGGCCTGTTGATTACACATATCCGCACTCGAGCAAGTAGCTGACTCTAGCAGATTGACGAAGATAACTCTATTTAGGGTCATTCCACGCCAAATCATCCAGCCAAAAGTAGACTTGTCACCCAAGGTTTTCTGATTTCAATAAAATTTTGTATAGATAATATATATATATAGATAAGAAGAAATCCAAAATTTTATATCATTCTGACAAAGGGCTTCAGAGATACGGCCATTTTAAGATTCACACAAATTCAGTTTCCGAGGCTTATTTTTGCGCTAAACTGAAATGCATATATTCTCGTCTTTCTATGTAAAAAGGACAATTTTGAAGATATGGGCTTCAAATTTTACTTATTTATCCAAAACTTAATGCAGAATCATATTACACAAGTGGAATGATTACTATTACCTATTATCACCCAAAAAAATTCCTAAATACAAATAATTAGATTTATCCGAAATCAGAACATTCAGTTACAAAAGGTTTGATAACAAAAATCTCTCTCCAGATAACCCTATAAAACTATATATCACTGGAAAGAGGACAAAATTATCTTTCAAATGGTATAATAACATGAGTGGGGTTTTGAGTATTAACATTGTTATCACACGTGAAAGTAAAAATTTAAATTTGATTAAGCTAAAAATTTCATTTCATGCCGAATATGTGTGATGAACTTAAATAATACAAAAGGTTCATCAATTTAATATATGTTTGTACAAATGACTAGAAATCTAAAAATATGAAACAAAATATTGGGTCCTTAAGTTGTTATTTTTGTATGAATTAAATTTTTACTTATAAAAAGCCCTAAATAAATCGTCCTATATCCTACATTACTTTTACCTAAACAAAGGCTAATTAATGCTTTACAAGCAATTACCTACAATTACATCTTATGCAAAATTTATAAGTTTACCACTCTCAATAACAAATAAAAAAATATGCATTATTAATTTTTATAGATCAAACTTCAATATTAAATTATGTGTAAAAAAAAAAAAGGAATGACATATTTAATACACAATCAATGTTTGTAACCAGAGTTTATACCAGTGAATGTAACCAGTGTCTGTGTGTGTTGGTGTGTTTGTCACTCCTGTGATGACATGAAACATGAAACATTCAAGTCTAAAGATAAAAGGCTTGTTTCACATCTATCCGGCATGCGTTAAACCGACTTCTAACCGGCACCGGCATGGGTGCACCTTTCACGTTACGCCAACACAGGCACTCTGGCAGTTGTACTCCAGCTTGTGAAACTTGTGTGTCGTAGGGATAGAAATGGAACGTAACAGAGCAATTGCAATGATACTTCGAAATTACTTTTATTGAAACTGTATTTATATTTGGATTTTTTTTTTATTTCATTCAATTTGAATTTGAGTAAAATTTAATTCAATGTTGTGTGACAAAAAAATATAAAAAATAAAATAAAATTTAGTAAAAATTCAATTTAATTCAATTCTGTTCTTGAATTAAATTAACAAGTAGTTCAATGTCTATTTCCGACATGACCAAAACCTTGCGAACAAATAGGCCTAACCAAAAGTAATACTCAAATAACTACAAACAACTGAACTAAAAGTACACTTGGTGCAGACGGCAGGTGCCGGTTATATGTGAACAGTCACATTGGGCCGCTACACCCACTACTCCAGCCGGCTTGTTTACCCGACACCGGCAGCCGGCCTTCGCCGAGGGGGTGCCCGGCATCCCTCGACTTGTATACGGCAGCTTGGCAAGTGATTAACTGACTACGACACATGCCGTGCATATGTGAACAGTCCCTTATACTTCTTCACCCCATTGCCGGTTAAACGTTAAAAAATATTTATCATGGAAGGTATTGCTGCACCAAGTCAAGTGAGAACTAATTTGATTTGTACAGTAGGTAAACTGTCAGACTCTCCATGTGAAAATTTTACTTTAACACAAGAAAAAAATGTTCATTTTATTTTTGAAAATCTTTCAAATGAAGAACTAGAAACATTAAGGTGGCACACAAATGATGAATATAATAAAAATGATTCAATTTGTTCTCATCATTTTTGTTACAGTACTTTTTGAAATATAAAAAAAATCATGCTGTGACCCATTTAAAAAACATGTGTTATCCTTGACAAAGATTTAAGAGTAATTTCTTTAGGGAAGGTAAAAGAAGTTAAAGAACTTAAAGACATAAGTTAACTTTAGTGCCAGGAAAGCTTTAGTGCATCAATTGTAGAAAGTTATTGAATGTTGTAAACACTGGTTCAAAAAATGAAGGAAATTCTGCATTTCATGATGGTGACAAAGATATTGACAGAGTTTACAAAAAAATTACGACAAATTTACTACAAAAATAGGATGTATTTGGTTTTGTTTTACGTTTAAATCAAGTTGTTTTCTTTTGACTTCTACGTGTAATAAAAATGTTGATACTCCAAACCCCACTCTTATTTTTATAACATTTGAAAGATAATTTTAAACACACACACCAATACACACAGTCACTGGTCACATTCACTGGTATAAACTCTGGTTACAAACATTGATAGTGTATTAAATATGTCATAAAATTTTATTTTTATTTTTATAACACATAATTTAATATTGAAGTTTGATCTATAAAAATTAATAGTTAATAATACATATTTTTTATTTGTTATTGAGAGTGGTAAACTTATAAATTTTGGATTAAATGTAATTGTAATTTCTTGTAAAGCTATAATAAGCCTTTATTTAGGTAAAAGTAATGTAGGATATAGGACGATTTAGTTAGGGCTTTTTATAAGTAAAAATTTAATTCATACAAAAATAACAACTTAAGGAACCAATATTTTGTTTCATATTTTTAGATTTCTAGTCATTTGTACAAACATATATTAAATTGATGAACCTTTTGTTTTATTTAAGTTCATCATACATATTCGGCATCAAATGAAATTTTCAGCTTAATCAAATTTAATTTTTGACTTTCACGTGTGATAACAATGTTAATACTCAAAACCCCACTCATGTTATTATACCAATTGAAAGATAATTTTGTCCTCTTTTCAGTGATATATAGTTTTATAGGGTTATCTGGAGAGAGATTTTTGTTATCAAACCTTTTGTAACTAAATGTTCCGATTTTGGAAAAATCTAATTATTTGTATTTAGGAATTTTTTTTTGGGTGATAATAGGTAATAGTTAACATTTTATTTGTATTATATGATTCTGCATTAAATTTTGGATATATGAGTCAAATTTGAGGCCTCTAGCTTAATAATTGTCCATTCTACATAGAAAGACGAGAATACATGCACGCTCCCTTAGCGTCAAATTGGACCTCGGAAACTAAATTCGCTCAAAACTTCAAATAGCCATATCTCTGAAACCGTTTGACATAATGAACTGAAATTTTGGATTTTATCCTATCTAAATGTCTAAATTATGTGTACAAATTTTCATAAAAATCTGTGACTAGTGGGTGACAACCCCTGGATGACTTGACATGGAATGGCCCTTTATTGATTTAGTAACTTATGTTAACTTATCGATTGGATGGATATAAAAATTGATCTGATTGCTACCCAATGTCATTACAAAACCTTGACTTAACTAGGCACTGTAAGTTATAATTTAAATTACAACTAACTTATAACTAATGAATGAGGACAAGGTTAGGTTTTAAATGGCCGTCCCCCTGAAAGAGAACGAATAATAAGGGCTACCCTAGTAGATTTAAATAAAGGAAAAATAAGAACAACAATAAAAATAAAAGACAATGAGTAACTTATACTAGCAGGGTACCGTACTTACAATAGTATTCAAACAAGAGACGTATCAATACATCAGTCATATGTGTGAAGTTATTTGTCAATGTGAATTGAATCAATCTATAACAATCTTCAACTCTATGAGATTTTAACAACATTTTCCCCATGGTTGGTACCATCCACTGTACATATTTTAGTATTTGACTGTTTTTAAGTAATAGTTTTGTGGCTTCTTCCTGATCTGAAAACCAGGTGCTTAAATACAGTTCCCTCCATAGACAGGCCAGAAGTAAGTCGTCTCTCTTTTTGCCTGAAAACTGTTCGATGTTATAAATCAATTTATGCAGTGTTGCTTCACTATGCTGTTCAACCAACGATGTGAACAAATTAGGGAGCATTACTTTCACTTTGGGTCTAACTACCGTGTTATCATAAGCAAACGAAAATAAATTTAATGACGTGGGAACCTTCCCGTCCAACCATAATGCTTCGGCTAAATAATGATTATACTGAGCATAATATTGAAAATGTGATGCGTTGTGCTTTTTAATGATGGACTGAATAGCTTTAACACCATTTACATTTCCATCTTTAGTAAAATAAACTAAGAGGTAGCCCAATTTTTCATTTGGAACCTTTGTAACATCTGTCTTTTCCTCTATACAACTAGCAAGCTCTTCAGCATCATCAGTTTTTTTAAGGCCACAAGTGTTGTTCTCTTGATATAAGCTTAGGCCTATCTTGGACATTTCTCCATGCAGATTCTTTGAGGATACATTTTGGAAATATTGAGTTAACTTGTTCTCTCGTTTAATCCCTTCTTCGGAAATCAAATTTTCAACATAGGCATCTGTATTACTTGAACACTGAGACTGAGGCTTACTTGAGTAAAACTTGATAATATTTAGTCTAGGCCAATGATGTAGAAACTTTGTCAGAATGCAACAGCAGCCATTATTGCATAACACGGTAGAAACTGCCATGTATTAAGGTGAAACACATAAACAATTTTGGTTCATCTAAATGTCATCACAATCACCTTTGGCCTATTACTAAAATGTACGCCACGAAATAAATATTAATTGTATGCAAGCGGTGCTTACTGTCATTACTGGCCTAACTGCAGGATTGACTGCTGCTTCAACAGTATAATAATCCCTCAGCTCTTTGTTAACAAATATTTTATAACCCACAAATGATCAAGTCCAATATACTAAGGCAAAAAATACGTTTTTAAAAGCTTACACTCACTCACATCATTAAATCTAAGCTAACCATCTTTTGAAATTAGACAAGCTGGATAAACTGACTGACTGAACTACTGTGAATAGTGAATGAATACTGAAAACTGATTACTGAACTGAAGGTTAGGTTAGGTTAGTTGTTGTTTTTTTTTTTACAGCAAACTGACATAAAAACATCAGTGCTGCCAAGCCAAGCATAGAGGAGACATAGAACGAAAGATCTTGAAAGAGATACATACATTCGTGATTTGCTTATTATTGCACACACACCGATTTTGGACGGTCGGTAATAAGTCGGTCGATATTTTATCGGCGAAACGATCAGTCATCAAACAAGTATGCCTACCATATCGGTGTGAACCCAGCGCTATCCGAGATCTAGGTCTCGTCCTCGTATGCTTATGATTACCCAGGTGCGGTACGAGAACGAGACTAGACCCCGAGATTACGTTGCGGTTGCGCAGTAATCTTTTGCGCATCATAACCTCGCAAAGAAAGGAGAGAGAGCACTGGGTCAACCGAAACGGCACACGGAAGATTTCTCAGGTGCCGTTTGACGTCACTAACTGCTGACGTTTCTTTGAGGGAACACCAATACCGCAACGATACGGTGGATAACGTTGCGGGCTGATAAACCGAATGTTCCGGGTTCGAATCCCGCCGGCGGCACTAACTTTTTATCAACATTTTTTTCATATCAGCAAGTTTGGTTGGTTTGGTTAGGTTATGACAGTTTAATTTTATAATTAAAAAATTATAAAATTGAATTTTAGGCAATTATAATTTTATTTTATGAACAAAACTATTTTTTAGATTAGTAAACCTTTATTCGATTTTTCCATTATAAGCACGTTTGGTTAGGTTATGACAGTTTAATTTAATAATAGAAAATTATAAAATTGTCTGTTTCTTCAGACGCAGCAGTTAGTGACGTCAAACGGCACCTGAGAAATCTTCCGTGTGCCCCACCGGTGACGAGACCCCGAGATCTCGTACCGCACAGCTATAATTAATAATAGTTCATTATTTATTTGAATTTATTCTTTTCCTACAATAACATATTAAGAAAAATATGTGTTATCTGTTTATTTACGAATTCCAGGGGGAAATAGGGTTGTGTCGTTGTGTGGACAAAATATCAAATTCAGCCTGGCTCTGGCCCTGGTAACACTGATTTTGAATTTCGATAAAATTTAATTTCGTTATTCGTTGTACTGTACTGGCTAAAGCTGGGTTTTCCTAGGCGCGGAAGCGGAGAGAGGAACGTGGAGAGCGGAATTGAAATTAACATGGCATTCCGCTCCGCTTCTAGGAAAACAAAACAGTAACATTAAATTGCCTAAGACTAGTGGAGTCCGCTCTCCGCGTTCCTCTCTCCGCTTCCGCGCCTAGAGAGAACGATTCCGCGCCTAGGAAAACCCGGCTTAAAATGATCGGAATGGCGGCTTTTAGAGGTGGTATGGGTGGCCCAGCTGATCAACTCTAAAAAAACAACAAAATGTGAAATAAATGAAAATATCATCATCATCAAATCAAATCAACCCTACCCTACCCTTACAGTGAACTTAGAAGGAAGTGCTATTATTTTAGTGACGATCAATAAAAATAACGTCATAGTTCTGTGGCGTAAAAAATAACAGTTAAAACTTAAAATTTTCAATTACTAGTTTAGCCTATCTACTACTTATATTTAATTTAACTTTTTAGTGTCAGACATAGGATATAGGCTAAATGCACCATCTAGCCTATGCTTAAGGAAGGGCACAATTTATTATTTTGTTTTATTTTTAACGAAAACATCTCAGAATTCTATAATAATTGAGCGATAGTAGAATGGCTTCTGGTCATGATGCAGAATTGGATGCAAAAGTAAAAAAAGGTAAGACAAAATCATTTCACGTAGGCCTAGGCCTCTTGCATTCCTCTTGTCTACCAATATTACCATGCTTTGCTCAATTTAATACCTAATCTATATAGTAGTTTAGTTTAAGGTTAGAATAAGTTTGATTATTGATTGAACTGATAGTTTTTATGTCCAACCATAGGCCTAAGATGGAATCGGATATCAAAGTTTCACCTATACGTTAATTTGTCCACCTAACTTACATTGCTTACCCAGGTTTACCATAGAAATCGGTTTATGTTTATAGCTTTGTTTGTTATAATCTACCTAACTTATTTAGCAAAAGAGTGATAAGCTACAGCCTAGGCCTACTCCACTAGGTACGACTCCGTCATATTTAAAAGATTCACAATCCCACAACCACGTGTTGGGACTTTTATTTTATCAATTTGTGAATATAGTTCTACACTTAAGTAATGCTTAAAATTTTATAGAGAGTAACTAACTTAAGTTTGTATACCGAGTATAGACGTAAACCTAACCTAATCCAAACCTTACCTCACCTATTAGGCCTAAAGTTCTGTCTGAACAACAATGCCCCAATGAGAAGGAACTTTTCAATGAAGTAGGTCCAAGTTAAAAGTACAACCCCATAGGATGATAAAAGATTTGTGGGCTAATTTTTAGTAACTTAGGCTATAATTAACTTAAGACTAGGCTATCAAGAATAGGCTACCTAACAAAGCTTAAACTTAGGGCCAAACAAAACAATTTGTTACATTTTTCAAGTTTGTATTTCATCCACCTTGTATTATAGCCACGGAGAGAATATCAGAGAATATGCACATAGTGGCTAACGAGCCATCATTGGCGTTCTACCGGCTTCAAGAACATGTGCGTAAGGCTCTTCCTCCAATGGTAGACAAGCGTGTGGATGTTAGCAAAGTGCACCAACAGTTGCAAGGTAGATGCTACGACGTAGAGTATGCTGTCAGGTGAGTGGTCAGATATTTATATTATTTTTAATTATGGCCTTTGTCAAGACCCTTAACTTAGATGGTTGGTGGTGGGGTGGGGCGGATTGTGTCAAGTTTCAAAATTACTTAAAAAATTAATAGGCCTACTCACAAATAAGGCTCTGGTTTCCTAGACACGTACTAGATGCTCAGCAGTTTAGATGCGCTGCGGCTTTTGTCCAGGTCCCAAAACGCAGCTGTCGTGAGTGGTTTCCTAGACTGCGTACAATACACATGGTTGGTGCGTAACATAAGTTCACGGGAGAGATTACTAGTGGCCACGAATACTAGAAAAATGGCTACTATGATGTTATATGATGATTTAGATAATTAAATGTATACTTTGGTAATAAAAGTTTTGAATAAGCGTAAGCAGTGAAAAGTACATGATTAGGAACTTTACATGGTGCTCGCGGAAGTTTTAACCGTAGTATATTAAAGCAAACATGTCAATTTAAAATGTAAACAATAAATTTTAATTTAACCTCTCCAACTTTGCTTTTACTGTTATTATATTTAGGCCTACCTATTCGGAATTTACCGAATTGACGAAATAGTATATTATTTATGAGTATAACTGCAATAAGCATTTCATACTTATACGCCAACCCCGTAAGAAGGACGGGTACTCTGCTAGTAGTTAATATAGGATTATTACTAAAATGTTCAGGGGTTTTTAAAAATAATTATGGGGGCTCTTATATTTGGGAGTTGGTGTTGTGCTGGCTTGAAAGGAATATTTGTCAACTTTAGGTTTATTTACAAATTACAAATATGTGAGGACAAATTAATTGTAGGAAACATTTAATAAGGGAATTAAATATTAAAATTACACATTATGGGGAAATTAACACTACCTAACGAATGATATGAAATGTAATACTATAAACATTTTAATTGTATGAACAACGTACTTCCATAATATGTCATTTCCAGAGAGAAATTCAATCGATTTTTTGTTGTTGTTGGAGAATTTTGCCATCAGGACAACATTTACTTCCATTGCACAAGACATGTCTAAAACGCAGCGTAAGGCTGTGGTTTCCTAGACGCGTAATAGATGCGCAGCGTCTTTTATCCAGGTCCCAAAACGCAGCTGCCGTGAGTGGTTTCCAAGACTGCGTTACAATACACACGGTTGGTGCGTAACATAAGTTCACGGGAGAGATTACTAGTGGATACTATGGTGTTATACGATGATTATATGAAGTTACCTACATGGCAATTGGTTTCGACGTCTATGTACATACACACCTTATAGGGCCTTCATGCTGCCATGTAGAAATGAGAATTTGTATAGCCAAGTATTTTATAGTTTTTTGTTGGTGTTCATGTGTATGAGTCACGTGTCTTCCAGCTTGACAATGATGCCATATGTCGAAACAGGTCGCCGTATAGATGACTTTAGGATTACTTGGACAAAAAATGTAACTTACCCACTTGTATAGGCATATAATTTGTGAAGTAATTCGGAAGGTAATACACAAAATGAACTGCTTGGTGGTTTAACACTGCTTTTTATTTAAATGAGGATAGCAAGTGGCTTTAGACTAGCCTATTTAACTTCAAATCAGAAGCTTTGGAGAATGAAAAACTGTCAAAGGAAGGAAGGAACTACTGTGAACTGACAACCAAAATTGGACATCAATTCGCTAACCTACAAATTGTATTATAAATAAATCTTTTTTGTGCGTTTTCCATGCCAATGGAATTTTTTACATTTTGGGTAGTCACGTACAACAACAACAAACCCCGGTCTTGTTACTATCTAACGCTGACCTTTTTTTTTTATAATTCATATAGTCCAATGACCAATTGCATTTGGGTATGGAAATGAGCTCGCTTGGAATCAAAACGGCTACTGATACACTTGAGTAGCTTGTCCATATGACTTACCATTATAGTATGTGGTTCATCAGCATTGTACCGTGTACGTGTTATTAAATATGCAGAAAGTAAATAGGAGTAGAAATATTTCTAAGAATACTTGAAATCATCATCAGACCCAATATGGGAATCATTCTCTTTACATCAGGACACAGGCCAATGTCCAGAGTTACGGCCTCAGTTTATTAAAATAATCATAGTTAGCCTAATCTATTGTTATTTTTTACAGTGCCATAAAATCAATGGAAAATGCAGACAGTACGTTTCTTAATATTCAAGAACTTTTGAAAACAGCAATTTTTTTGAAGCAGCAGATTAAGTATGAAGAATCAA